GCCAAAATAGTACCTCATTTTAATAAATTTTTGATTTGATTTTGATTTATATTTTATTTGCTGATCATATTAGTTTTTTTAATAAATTTTCTATTTGTAATTCGTCTTAATATTTGCCAGTACGTTTGATTTGAAAATAATTAATTAAAATCAAAATATTAAAAGATCGGCTTCTTGACGATCTTCGAAATATTGTTTGATACGCATGCAAGTGAACCAAAATTCGTGTCAGTTAAAGGATACATATTTTCAGTCTAACCTCGACGACTGATTCAGGTAAAACATTAAACATCAAACATCAATTTTGGTATGTTATGTAAAGGAATATTTTTAAAAAATTTGCATTGTAGGACTGAAACTATCGTAGATGTGCCACTAATTTTTTATACTACTATTTATATGTGCAACTATTTTATATTGCAAGGATAAGATGCGATTAATTTTAATTTATTGTAATATGTGGAAATAAAGGTGACATAGCTTCAAAGTTGTCTTATGGTACGGATGTAGTATGGTTTTTCTGAATGGTGCTCAAATGTCCGGAAATAGCACAGTTTGGCTTGTTAAACGACTAGGGAAACTTCTGTTAGTGAATTTAAGTTGATCTCCATAAATAATATCGCGAAATGCCATGGCTTTTATAAAATTATTTCAAACTGGTGTTGCCGATCTGCCAAAGAAAACTTTCATAGTTTAATCGATTCTTTGTTGCCAAATAAAGGAAAATTTACGTTTATGGTATTTTTTGTATACTCTTACTCTTATGAAAATCGTTTCTTTTGCCCTTTTTAGGTGCCAGCAAGGGACCTAAGCGGTTGGTTTCCAATATTAATATTCAAACATTTATTTTGTTAATTTATCCTTTATTCCTTTTATTCTTTTTTCTTTTGCTTTACCCTTTAGTCTCTTTGATTTAATCGAAGTTTATTTTTTCTGCCTATATATTAATTAGTTTAATTACCCAAGTTTGTGGTGGCGAATAAAGATTTTATTAATACGTGCCGTGATCAATATAATCTCAACTACTATCCAGATCAGTTCTCTAAAAAGCATGGCAGGCGGGTATCATCCGCTGTAAAAAATAATCTATTTTTTACAAATAATATAAATCATAAAAGATATAAAGATTTTAAATGTGTAGCGATGCTTCGACATTGGATTATCCATTGCTAATTCAATAGATTCATGGCTAAGGCTTTCATATGAGAAATATAATAAAAAGCCAAGTGCAAAGCACAACAAAGGGCAAAAAAAGGCGAAATAACCTTCGAAAATTTGTGAAGAAATTTTCTTATTTTCTATTAATCTAAAAAAAGGCCATTGGCTCTCTTCAACTATTAAGTCATAAATTTCATTGCGGAGTTTTTTTGTATTTTTGTATAACTTTAAAAACAACAAAAAATAAAATTAATTAATTAATTTTATTTCATTTACGTGAAAACATTCGAAAAAAAAAATTCAAAGAATTCAGCATTAAATGATAATTAAACTTGAGTGTTTTCGAGTAAGCGAGGTCAAAAGGTCAAATAAATAAGCACAATTTATTTTAATTATTTTTTTTATTGATCCTAAAATTTTATAGGCAATTTTAATGAACTTTAATTGGTTTACAAAATTTTTTCTTTTCGACTAGTTTAAAATAGCGGACGGTCTCACTTAAATGCAAACCAGAAAGAGTTGGTTGATGGAGAAAAGCCAGCGAAAAGCAGGAATGTGGCACATCGTCTTTCAATAAACTTATTTCCTCTTTTATTTTTCATCTCTTTTCATTTTTTTCATTTGAAAATAAAAAAGCAAAAACAAAAAATTAAAGAAAATTAAAAATAAAAAATATTTAATTTTATATAAATATAATTAAATCAAAAATAGATTTGTGATTGGGCAGAAAGAGAATCCAGTTAGGTATTATTTGAAGTACACGATGAGCCGCCGGCACAATTCGAATTTTTTTGCAAATAATAAAATTTGCTTCTAATCAGAAGGCAATAACCGAAACAAAAAATGCCTGAGGCGCGTTTTATTGCTTCAATAATTAAATATAGTTTATCATTAAAAAAAACTTCTTTAAATCTAATTTACATGTGAATTTATTATATAAAAAAACATTCGTCGAAAATCGTATGAAATTGAAAGAAAAATTTGAAATTTCTAAAAATTTATGATTAATTTCGAAATAATAAATCATTTAAATATGACAGAATTTTGTTTGTTTTTTGTTTTTTTTTCGGGTTATTACTTTGGATAATTCTTGTAATACTTAGAAAAAAAAAATTTTTTTCTTTTTTTTTCTTTCATTTCTTTTATAATTAATGAATTTTCATCGTGTTTAAATGTTTTAGATGGTGCATAAATAAATCAAGATTTTCACGATTTTCACTAATTGACTAACTAAATAACGAGTTTCTTCATTTAATTTATACCAGTTTTTTTTTTTTTTTTATTAGTTTCATCTTTTCTTAATTTACAAGGACAACATTAATGAATAAAATTAATAAAATTAGCGAATAAAAATGAAAAATGAAAGAAAAAAAATAAAAGAATAAAGAATGATGAAAAAATGAAAATCGACGAAATTATTATTAGATATGATTTATTTTCTAAAAAAAATAAAAATATTTCAAAATCTTTTTTTATTTGAAATTTTATTTTAAATAATAATTATCGATTTTAAAGTTTGGCTTATTTCTTTCTGTAAAATTATTTTATGAAGAAATTTAAAAACGACAAATATGGTAAAAAAATATTGTCAATTGAATTGTTATACAAATGATTATTGATAAATGATTAGTGATAATGACCGGTTTTTGGTGTTCATTGAAAATTTCTTTTTATATATAAGTAAAGATGCAATTTTAATATATTTCAGTTTTAAATTTTTTTATTATCTCTGAATTCTATTCATATTTTAATATTCGCCATAGAAAACTCGCATAATTTAATAAATCTTTGAAATAATTCTTAAAAATTTTTCAGAGATTTAATTAATGACTCTGAATTCTATTCATATTTTAATATTCGCCATAGAAAATTCGCATAATTTAATAAATCTTTGAAATAATTCTTAAAAATTTTTCAGAGATTTAATTAATGAAAACGAAAAATTATCCACTAAAATTATGAAAAACTTGAATATTTTTATTGTTTTATTTAGAGAAATTTTATTATATTTTATTCTATTTATTGTTAATTTTCTTCATTCATCTTTCAAATTGAAATGTTTCATTAAATTGTAAATATTTTCTTCCTAAAATTTTCTTCGTAAAAATATATTTTGTTACGAAAACGAGAAATTTGTGAAACATTTTCAAATTTAACATTTTTGAAAAATGCTAAAAACAAATTACGCTTTTATCGTTATTGTCGCGTAAAATTTTAGCACAATTTCTCTTCTTCTTCTATTATTGTTCTCTAAAATCGAAAATTTGTAAAACTGAAAGAAAAAAGCCCTATCGAATATTCGTGTTTATCGTTTTAGAATGAGATTTGCGAATCGCGTGTTATAATTATGGTGACTTATGGTGATTATGGTGACTTTAAAAATACAGTTAGATCGCTAAGATTTAGTTAAAAACTATTTTATTTTATTTTTTTATTTTATTGAATGGTAATTTTATGGTTATAATTATATTGTAACAAATAGCTTAGAAAATATTTTATAATTATTTTTAAATTTTTATTTATAATTTTAATTTTGTGAAAAATTTTATATTTAATATTTTCTTTAATAATTAGTTTTCATAACAATTTCTAAATATTAACAATAAATATTAACAAATATTAATAAATATTAACAAATATTAATGTATAAATATTAATATTAATAATAAATATAACTATAAATATAAATAATAAATATAACTATAAATATAAATAACTATAATTATAATTATTATAAACAAAATAGGAAATTTTTAACAGAGTTGCCAAGGCAATAATAATGAAAGTAGATCCCACGATATCGCTTACTGTTTTCTAAAACTGAAACTTTAAACTTTAATGAACTTTTGAATAATCTAAAACAACAGTCATTCGGCTCTTTTGTCTTCTTCGTTGTACTTTACTTGAATATTGATGAATTTGAAAGAATAAATTAAAATTTAAACTGGTACGAGTGAATAAAAATTTGCGATTTTTTATTATAAAATTATTCAAAATTTATCTAATTTAATTAAATTTATCGAATAAAAAATATGCAAAAATTATAAATCATAAGAAAAGTTTATTTCAGTTATTTTAAAATTTTACGAAAGAAGAATTTTAGAGGAATTCGGAGGATTCGCAACGCTACGCTTAATTATGAATTTATTATTTTTTATTATATTAAGCAATCTTTTTGCGATTGAATGTAAAAGGTATTTCCGATTTTTTAAAATATTTTTATTAAAAAATTTTTCTTTTTTTATATTTATATTAATTAAAAGAAGGCTATTCGACGAACGACGCAGAAATCATAAATTTCAAACTTTTGTTTAAAATATTTTGATATTTCCTCAAAACCTTTATATTCCCTTATTATCCCTTTGCATTCCATATTTTCCTTATTGTTCCTCCTAGGCAACTTCCGATGCTTTTCAATACTCCATTCATTTTTTTGAAATTTTGAAATTTATGAAAATTCCGACAACGATTTGAAGTCTCTCCGAGCTTCCAGCGCAAATGAACTCGAGGGAAAAGATGCAATTACAATTGAGTTTAACGGGAACGGGAGCGGTTTAAAATGAAATTTCTGAAGAAAAAACTATAAGTACAATGGTGTCTAATGGACCAAGATCACTCATATAAGAATGCTTATGGTAATATTATTAATTTGGTGCAACAAAAACATTCAACAGAGTATTAGGGTAATTTAACGGGATTTTGAGAATATTTAAGGGAGCCATTATAAAACGCACCAAAAAAAGGCTTTGCCGGATCCAAAAGGTGATTATAAAGGTTTTAAGAGGATACTATGCTAGCGCATTAATGGAATAGAAGACAAAGAGAGCGAGCACTAAGATAATTTTGAGATTGAGAAGTTTTCATAAAATTTGGTTAATTTAAGACGATCAGTTTTTCCATCGATATATACGCTTATTTGGTAAATTATTCTATATAGATTCAAGTTTTGAAAATGTGCATAACAAATCAAAAACTGACAAGTGATTTATTATTTATGAGGTTGGCACCATTCTATTTTACCAAATTTTCCATCGCATTAATCACGAGCCAGTGAAGCGAGTTTAATCACAAATTTTGTGAACCACTACACACTAAAAACACGAAAAACTGTTAATTGTTAATAATTCTACCTATAAATTTTCTCCACAAATAAAAATTATTAGTAAAATAGAAATGCAGAATTCAACGTTATTATTCAGACATTAATAAATAAATATAAAAAATATTCGCCATTTCTAGTTGTTGCGATAAGAAATTTTGCCATTCACGTGGAGATTCAAAGTACCTCTTGCACTACTTGGCTTTTTTAAATTATAGATTTACTCTTATTGAAGACAATTATGATAATGTGAAAACCGCTTGGCTACTTGTATAAACCTACAACAATAATAAATATTACTATTGCTTAATCGGTTTCGTTGATCGTAGATAATTTTGATTTTATCATTTCACTATTTGAAGTGATAAGCTATTGCAGTGAAATGGATATTTGAAGAAGAGGAAGAAGTAGAAATTAAATTAGATAAAGTTTAATGACGAAGTAAAACATTAGCTAAAAATTTTCAAAATATTTCAAAAAATTTAATAATTATTTAATTCTTTATTTCGGCTGCAAAAAGGTTTAATAATCCCATTTCGCAAAAGTTGGTGTGTTGAAGCCGATTGATAAACTGATAAGGTTCCAACAAAACTGATTTTCGACAAGGCGACTTCATTCTGAATTGAGATTGCTTAACATTGTCGAATATTGCGGAAACTGGCTAAAAGCAAAATAAAAATTTATTGTCGTCTCTGATTAATGCAAAAAGAATTTTGAAAAATTAGGTCCGTAAAGTAGAATGTTAAGTTTTTTATGATTATTTTAATATAAATATTAAAAATGCTACTTTTATATATTTTGTTTATTTTTGAATATTTTGAATATTCAATTTAACTGAATTAAAAATTCGTATGATCAATTTTAAAATTATTTGTAAATATAATATTTTTAAGTATATTTATTAATTTTAAATATTTTTAAATATTTTTATAAAAATATTTAACAACTTAACAGAATCTATGAAATGCATCAAATATTCCCAAGAAATGAGAATGATCTCACACAATTACAAAAATTATACGAAGAATCCGATAAGGTTTGTTTCCTTCTAAATTTTTTTCAGAAAACTTGGAAAATAGCCCATAATTTAAAATAGAAAAATTATTTATTGAAGATGTTTTAATAAGATTTTTCTTATCATTATATTCTTAAACTAATCATTCTTATCATTATATTCTTAATTATTAAATCTTATAAATGATCATCGTTTACAGGTTAACATTTGGAAATGACTTATTTAGCTAAACGAATGGTACCACAGCAAAAATTAAATAATTAGAAATTTTATAGTGGTAGTTTCTTATTTAATTAATTATTTAATTTCTTATTTAATTATTTTCAATAGTGCATAAATATTTTATAAAATTATAGGTAAATTTCTGGAAAGCTCCTTCTAAAATCAATAAATCAGTAGATATTATGGTTCCACAAGTAGAAAAGAGAAATTTCTTAGATTTTTTGAGCAAACATCATATGACATCCACGATAGTTGTTAAAGATCTCGTAAAGTAAGTTAGACTTTTTGTTCATTCATTTAGCTTAAAAATAATTGAAATTTTTCCGAGAAAATTAAAAAATTAACAATTTTTCACTTTTTACAGACTTCTGAAAGCAAAAGAATTTGATTTACGATCACAAATTCGTTTGCGATATCCGAACGAACGTCGTCTAAACGACGATTATTCAAGAAAATTATATTTACGAATGGGTGAATATTATTCGTATGTGGAAATCTCGTGGTGGTTGAAATATTTGGAACAAAAATTTCCAAATCTTGTAGAAGTGATTTCGATTGGAAAAACTTATGAAGAAAGGTCGATCTATGGAGTTAAAGTCTGTTTAAAGAATTATTTTTATTCTTATTTTTAGGTTCACTAGGTACTTGGGTAGTTAGCATTATTCTCATGGTAGTAATGTCTCGTCTTTTTGTAGAGATTTTTCCTTCTTTGAGATTTTTCTATCTAAAATACGATGCATTGGTGGCTCAGTTACGAGATAATTACCATCAAGAATCGAAACTTGCACTCGAATTCACTGCCGTATCACTTCGTCGTGTCGCCTAAACGGCGATAAAGAAAGAAGAATAGAATGGCCTAATGGATCGCTGCTCACTCTTGAAATCTCTGAGGTTCTACTCCCAACAGGAATAGACCTGTCCAAAAATCCGAGTGTTGCTGGCGATTCACCTATATTTCTATCACCAGTGGACTATTTATCTAGTGCGACAAGCTAGTGGAGCGAGTTTAACCATTAATAATGAATGGATGTACGTAAAGTATAGAAGCATTTAAACTTTCTAATTTCTTTTCTCTTTCTCTTCTTCTTCTAATGGCTCACACCAGTACTGGCTAAGCTGGCTCTATTGTCTGGCATGGGTAAGGCGTTTCCAAGCACCAGTCTATCAATCCAATATCTAAAAGTATCCAAAAGTCAATCCTTTTTTTCCCGTTTAAGATCATACATACGTATCATGGCTGGACTAATTTTTTGCTCGGAATATCTCCTAATCTTGATTGGTTACTTATTTCTTCTTGAAGTCACCAATTAGAGGGCTTAACAATTAGAAAGGTACGCCTTAATTCCTGTGGTCTTTTGGGATGGAAAAAAGGATTTCTAGCTTTTATTTAACCAGTTTTTAACCAGTTGATATAGGAATAGATCCAAAATATTAAAAGATGGTTCTTTAATCGGTGACTATTTAATTAAAATAGGTATTTTAACCTATAAGGCGAGAATGATTTTATTGATTCGAAGCACAACTTTCGCTGCAATTTTTCATACACGGTCGAGCACTTGCCATAGTTCTTCATAATTGTCATTTCTCTGGACTGACTTACATTCATGAGTACCGACAAATGATAATCCAGTAATCCAGTTGATAAGCCAGTCTACCGCATAGTTGAATATTTTAAGGAAAAATATCCAACACTATTTTAGTAATTATTATAAAAGAAAGATCAATTCTCCATACAAAGAATATCTTCTCAGAGAATTTTGTCAGAACCGATGTTGGCGTTTCATATGTTTAGGAGCATATTAGATGGCACATTATGATGACTTTTCGGATACCGAATCATTTCTTCTTCCAGTAGCTCGTTTCCAAATCGCATATCATAATCTCGATATGGCTTGTCACGAAAACATGTTTTCATGACTACCTGAATTCTTCCAAGGATAATTCACCAGAATTTGGTGTTATGGTTGATTATGCGGACAGATAACTAGATAACTGTTTTCTAACCGTTGTCAAAATTAAGTATTGGTGACCAATAGCAAAGCGAAGAAGGTCTTCTCAATTAACATATCAGAGCTTAACGCCATAATGCGCATTAATATATTTTAAAAAGCAACAAAACAAAATAAAAAAAAAAAAAACTTATAAGTCGATCAAATCCAGAGGAAAATTAATGGATCGATTTAGATTGGTGCGAAAAAACGCGAACCATCAAGAATTATATGGATTGATGGTGGAATTCATGCTCGTGAATGGGCATCAGTTCATACAGCATTGTATTTCGTTAATGAGGTTCATCTTTTTGCACAACTGTTGCTTGAATTTTGCTTGATTTATACCTATTCATTCGTTAATGACTCGTAAAATCATTGCAAAGACTTGTATAAGAATTGTAGGAATATTTTTAGCCTTATCCAAGAGGTCTTCCACATTCATTCATCATTAAAAAACCGAATAAAAGCGATAGTCTTCAATATTTAATATAACTAGCTGATAAAATGATAATGTGCTATTATGATAATATCACTATTGCTTTTTATCTAAAGAGTATCTTTTTTTATAACTTCATCCTTGAAAAGATTATCTATTTTTGATAATGATAAGTATTTTCAATAAACATTTTCATTCTTTGGTGTTTTTAGTTGAGATTTACATGTTTTTAGTTGAGATTCACTTTAGTTGAGATTCACTATCCTTGGGTTAGTAGAATGAAAGTTGTAAAATAATTCAAAATGAGTATCATATCATTATCATTAATTATTATCATTGCTTTGGCAAAAACAACAATACTTTAAACAAGCAAATTCGATTTAACAAATTGTTTCTTTTTTTTTCTTAAAGCTTGTCAGTGGATATGAAAATGATGCACTTATAACGAAATATCTAAATTTACTGGACTTTTATATATTTCCTTGCGTAAATCCTGATGGATATGAATTTACGAGAACGGATCAGTATGATCCAGCTGTAAGCAGTTTTTTAATGTTTTGTCAAGGGGGAGGGAAAATTATTTTTCGAATCACAAACTAGTGTAAATTGAACGAAGAAAAAAGCCTTCTATTGTTTTAATATTCCCTATATGAATTAACTGAGAATTGTCGCAATTGTCACTTCTCTTAAAACCATTTTACCTAACAATTTTTTTCAGTCATTAAATCAGTGAAGTGTGAACAAAAACCCTCACTTCAAAAGCCTTTTTTTTAAAGATTCGTTTTTGGAGGAAGAACCGCTCACCGCAAAAATGTTTCGCTCATAATGGTTCTCAATTTTGCTGTAAAGGCGTGGATCTAAATAGAAATTTCGATTTTCATTTTGCAGGTAATAATAAAAATAGGACAAAAATGAATCTTATTTTTTTGAATTACGGTCAAATTATTTAAAAATTGATTGATCGGTGATGGTGATCGGTATCAATTTTATTTATTTCAGAAGTTGGTGCAAGTTCTTCACCTTGTTCAGAGATTTATCGCGGTGAAAATGCATTCGCTGAATTAGAAACCAAGTATTTCTTAATATTTTCAACTTAATTCTGATCCATTTTAATTAATGATTATATAACTAATAAAGATAGTTCAAAATATAAAATAATATGGTATTGTACTTTTTTCGCATTTTTGTATTTCAAAGATCATAGGTTTTTTAATTGTTTAATTATAAAATATCCGTAAATATTCTTTAATATAACAGCATGATAACTGATAATCGATTGACAACCGATTTATAGAGCAATTCGTGATAAAGTATTGTCTATAAAAGATAGACTCGATGCGTTTATAACATTGCATACTTATTCTCAATTATGGATCTATCCTTATTCGCATAAGAAGAATGCCTATCCATCGGATGTCAATGATCTAGTAAGCTGTCATATAAAATTTTTTTTCACTATCGCGAAATATGCATATGGGGGTGGGAGGAAATGAGGGGTTTTTTTCGATAAAATTTCTTTGTTTTCCTTTTAGGGCAAATTTTTTTTTCAGTTTTTTTAACTAAATTTTTTTCTTAAAATTTCACAAATATGAATATTTGATTTAGAAAAATGTAGCCAAGCAAGCTGTTGAATCTTTGTTTAAGTTATATGGAACAATGTATCGTTATGGTACCGGACCTGAAACCATTTGTAAATTTTTTTCAATTCTTCAATTTATTCAAATATCATCCATTTCTTCTTAAATGATAATGATAATGAACAATTAAAATTTTAAAATTTTAAACGATAAACGCAAAGTCGCGTAATTTTGAAAGAAATTATAGATGCTTATTCTGGAGGATCAAGTGACTGGGTGAAGCAAAATACACCAACCAAGTATACTTACACCATAGAATTGAGACCGTCTTCTTTTAGTTAGTAGTGAACTTGTTTGTTCCCATCTTTTTTATTAAAAATTATTTTTTATTTAAAAAAAAAATTCATAATTTCGCTTTTTTTATGTAAGAGTAATAACTAAAAAATTAAAAAATTTGCCAAATATTTCGAATTTTAATGCAAATTTTCTCGCATCATCTTGCGGTATTTTCAGATTGGAATGGCTTTGTACTGGATAAACGACAATTAATACCAACAGCAAGAGAAACTTTTGAAGGAGTTAAAGTAGTGATAGATAAAATCATTGAGGAACATAAGTTTGATCCACGTAAGTCAATATTCAATGATTATAGGTGAATAGCTAAGCACCACCAGGATTTCACCTTTAACAACCTATTCACTTTTTTTCAAGGCATATATTTGTGAATAAAATTAAAAAATTGAGTCGCCAAATATGAAATTAATATTAATATGTTTAGCTCAAGAATGTTCCGACCAGTCATCTTCATGTACATTATGGATTGCTAAAAATCCAAGGTTTTGCTTCGATTCGCGTACAATCGCAGAAGTTATTTGCCGAAATTCATGTTTAATTTGCTCAAACTGATTTGAATATTATCAATTATCAATATTTTGGCAATAATTTGCTAGCTATTTATATATATAAATATTTAATAATGATACATTTCGATGTACTTATATATTTAATATTTTCATCAAATGAAAATTCCGATTATTCGGTCAAATCAAATTTTTTTAAAAAAATTTCTCTATCCATTTGAGATATTTGAAATGCCTTAAGCAATTTATCGAAATGTTTCATTTATGTATAAAAATAATCACCATAAATATTAATAAATGTCGATTTTTTTTTGTAAATTTCATAAATAATTCAACAAAAATTAACTAATTTTATTTATTTTTTAATATTTCAACAATTATCACAAAGATAAATTTAGTACAAATTGCTAACATCATTAGGGCTAAATGTAATTCATTTCCTACAAAATTATTTGGACACCGTTTTTATGCATATATTTTCTAGGCTTACATCACAATTTGCAGCTAAAATTTAACGAATTAAAAAAAATAAGTTAAAGAGAGATAAATCATTTATTGAAAAATAAATAAATGTGTATGCATATATAGAATATTATTCGAGTGATACAGGCGACTCACCTATATTTCCATCGCCAAGGGACTCCCTAGCATATTTGTCTAATGCGATAAGCCAATGAAACGACTTTAACTAGTAATAGTAAGGACTTTAAGAAAAAAAAAATTATGTCAAAATTATTAAAAAAAAAAAATTATATCAAAATTAATTTATAAATTTGTTAAGATCATTCGACATTGTAGTTTTTTCCTTTTAAAGCGTTTTTTATGATATCAACATGTACATCAATGGCAGCATTGAGGTCCTCGATGAGAATATGTTCATCAGGTGAATGAGCGTTCGTTATAGAGCCAGCACCGAAGAGGTATGCGCGTTTAAGTTTATCACGGGCAATGAAATAAGGCAAATCTGTATTGAAAGCGACAATATGAGATTCATAAGGCGCTGGAGGATCTGAAATTTTATCTTCTTTGATTTTTCTTTACGAAGATTATAAAATAAAATAAACGTTAATATCCTTTTAAATTTGAAATTTTCAATACATCATAAAATAATTTAAAATATAATAAAAAATATTATAATCTATAAAATACATAAAAAAATTTAATTTTCATATAATTCCATTAAATAGCTCAGCAAATTAAAGGAACTTTGAGTAAAACAGTTGCTCAATGGTTGTTCTCATTTCTGAGCACCAACATTGGGATAATCCTCGATAGGAGTAATTCTATCTTTCAAAAACCTAGCTGAAGTTTGCAATTCATTTATACTTCTATTGTCAAATGATTCCCATGTCTGGCAGTGGAGCGAACCTAATCAAAAATGGTGAAAGGTGGTAATGGTGAAACTCTTAGAAAGCATCAATTAACCACTATCTTATCGTTATCTTATCGTTATTTACTTATAATTACTTTTCTTATCGCTCAATCTTACACCATTATTTCATTTAAAAATCTAGCTACATTATATTAAGGTCGAGGACCAAACAGGAAAAGCACTTGCAAACAGCTTTCACAATCAAATGATAGAGTCGAATTTTTGCTACCTACTATATCGTCTTCAAAAATCCTTAATTTCTGCCACAATCCAGTATTATGTAATATGAAATGATGAAGCGAGAACTTCTGAAGTTGAATCATAAAAAATCTCATAAAATGTCATTCCTACAAAATGGAGATCACTAATCTACGATAAATATGACTATAATTAATCAAAAACATAAAAAAAAGAGAGTTATAAAAATAAGAATCGTTATTGGAAACTAAGAAAAACGAGTGATATCCTTTTATTAAATTAAATGGTACCAGATAGTCTTATTGGCTCATTTTTTCCAAAAGACTGCTCTATTTCTGCTCTACCAGCCACAATTTTCTGCAACTGATTCAGAATATCGTCTGTAGAAGTGGTTACTCGAAAAAAGATTGATGCTGTAGCGGATTCCGCTAAGGCATTTAGAGCTTGACCACCAGAAATTAATCCAATATTTACAGTTGTGTCACCTAAAAAAAAATAGATTTATTAGAAATCATTATTATTATTATTATCACAGTAGAAAATAATTAATTCCTAATTTTTACATATTTAAAAAGTAAAAAAAAATTTTTTACCGAGAGATTCACTTGAAGGCCAATGATGCTCACGTAACTGTTGTAAAATATCAAGTAGTTTATCAATGGCGCTATCGCCCATGTTCGGATATCCTGAATGGGCCGCTTTGCCATGAACTTTCAATGTCACCTTCAATTTTTAATAAAAATGCTATTGCGGTATTTGAGACCACTCAAGTTTATGGTGATTTTGGAGATATTTCTACGCTTTTCCTGGATTTCTTCCGTAAGAAAATGCGGAAAATAATAAGATGGAAACAAAAAATAATTTTACAAACATTTACTCAGTAGTAAATGAGTGTCACTGACCTTTATAAAAAAATTCGCCTCAACTCGGTCATCTCGGTGGGTCTTTTTTTCTCACCATGCGCTAATATTCTTAAGGAAGACAAATTTTGCTAATTTTGCAATTCAACTACACCTTTCTCAAAAAACAACGCTATTACAGTTGTGAGAAACTGAGAATTTCAAAAGAATTTCTACATGTAATAGCGTATATCAATAATTGTAGCGAATTCAGGCTTCAAATCAGAATAGTATGGATCCACTCTAATACCTAATAGTCGAGCGATAGATGAAGTTCTGTGGCTGCAGGTCTTCTTTTACTTAGATGAACTCACCGCAGAACATAATTCTACTACACATTATTGCAATAACATATGGAAAGCACAGAATCTGGTCTGCGTTTAAGTCACGTTTTTCGTAGCTTTATCATAAGATTTAGTAAATAGTCATATGATTGCTAGCATTTCATGAATCCACACCATTTATAGTTAACCTCGCTTCGTTGGCTAGCTACATTGAACGAATGCTCCAAGTAGTCCATTAAGGATGGAAGTTGACTTAAATAGCTAGCATCATCGAGTTTTTCAACAAGTTTTTCCCAATGGGGAATAGAACCTCAGCATAGGCGCTCAAATCTGAACAACAACCACTAACTCTATAAATGTTACTAGAAGAAGTAATTGTCTTTAAAAGGCCATATAATGGACAAGTTTAATAATAAAAAAACCTTTAATGCTCCTTTTTGTAATCGACCAAATTTCAGTTCTGTCGGTTCACCAACCATAAAAAATTCTGGTATCATACCGAGATCATTGGCTTCCTATTAAATAAAATAAAACATAATATAATTAATGATTATATAATATAATATAATTGATAAATATAATATAATTAATATAATTAATAATTAATTTTACTTAATAATAAAAAAACTAAAAATTGAAAACTAACCACCATTCCAATATGATCAACTTCTTCGCTAACAACCAAAAGTAGACCGATATTTTCAGCAAGTTTTGCATCTTCTTTGGCGATTCGTTGTGCAGCAAATATCATTGCAGCCAACTGTCCTATATAAAATAGTTTCTTATTTTTTTAAAATATTTTTATTATTTTTATAGAAAATATTTTTAAAATCATTCTTTTTCTTCTTCTTCTTCTAACAGCTCTCACCATTACTGGTTAGGCTGGCTCCAACGGCTACAAGGGTAAGACGCTTCCAAGCGGCGCGGTCTGATGCCATCTTCGACAGTAATGGAAGCCATTCCTTTTTCCATCGTCTAAGTCCATATATTGCTGGTCCACCTATACGTTCAAAATTTTTTCTCACCGTATCAGTCCAGGTCTTGATTGGCCCACCTCGCTTTTGACGCCAACCGTTACACGTTTTAGCAAATAACGAAATATGCGTCAACTCGTGTGGTGGACGACGGAGAATGCCCTAACCAGCGAAGGCGGTAACATTATTTATGCAAGTGGTATTTGAACGAAGGTGGATGCGATGTAGTGAGATTTTATCCACTTGGCGAACCCGTAATATGTACCTTAGACAAGAGTGATCAAAGGCAAATAATTTCTTAATATCCTCCACTCTCATTGGCCATGTCTCAGAACCATATAATAAGATCGAAACGGATCACGGCAATATAGATGCGGACTTTCGTTTTTATGGTGATTTCACGACGATTCCATAAAGGTTTCGTCAACCGGAAGAACGCATTTCTAGCTGCCGCGATCCGAGTTATTTTTAAAATCATAAATAAATCACAAAGCAATAAATAAATGTATTTATTTGAATAAAATAAAAATAGAAATTCTTTAAATTTATAAATTTTTAATTTTTAAATTTTTTTATGCGAATTAAAATAAGCCATTGTGATTTCATTTAAAAATAGTTCGAAAAATTTAAAATTAATCAAATTAAATAATTAGAAAATTAAATAACCTTTTGCATCATTCGCACCTCGTCCTTTGATAATGTCGCCTTCAATTATTGGCGGAATATATGGCGGAACTGTATCCATATGTGTGTTCATTATATAACGTGGTCCTGATAAAATTTCATTTAAATTGAATCCCTTCCAAAGATTCAGTTTATTTCCTTGAATTTTAATATCTAATTAAATTAAAGTCAATTAGACCTTTGTTATTCAAAAAAAAATCACCTGAAGAAATAAAAAAAGTTTTCATTCTTTAGTTCCATTGGGAATAGAATGGCTCAATGGGTTGTTGCTAAATTTGGAGCTCTCATGCTAAGGTTCAATCCTCCGCAGGAGCAAACCTGCCCAAAAATCCTGGTGATGCTGGTGGCTCTGCATTTCTATCGCCAAGCCATTCCTTGGCATATTATCCAATATGACAAGCCAGTGGAGCGAGTTTAACCAGTAATGGTGAAGAGTTTTAAAAAAAAAGGGACTCCACTGGCTCTAATGGCTATAAAGATTAAGCTTTCACTGCTAGCAAAACAAGACGACTTTCGAACAGGAGGGTTTCCTTAGTCCTTCGTGGATATATTTAGAGACGATAAAATGAATGATTTTCGAATAATTTTCAGTTACTTTTATGAAATTTTTATTAAAGAATAATTTTTGGAAATATTATCAAAATTTAAAAAAACTATCAAACATAAAAAAAAATATTTTTGTTTAATTTATTTAAATATAATATTTTTTATAAAATTTCTAGCATTAGCGTAAAATCATTTAAAGTAAAAAAAATAAGACCAGCCTTTCAAAAAAAAAAATACCTGGTGGTTCATAAGGAAGTCGACTTATAAGAAGATTATGTCTTGATGGATCACTTTTAAGTGATTGACGTAAAACATTCCATCCGGTTGCTTTGAAATATCTCGTCAAAGCGAGTGATAAAGTTTCTATAAGAAATAATAAAAATAATAAAAAATAAATAATAAAATATTTTTAATGAAATAATAAAAATAAATATTAGAAATAAATATAAATATTAATATAAATATAAAATAAATATAAATAAATATAAATATAAAATTAAAATATTTAATAATATATTTCATTAAAAATATTCGTAATTGGATTTAAATAATTTAAAATAATAAAACATTTTTTAAATAAAATTTAGAAGGAAAAAAAAAGGAAAATAATAATGATAACCTTCATTTCCAGTTGTCGAATTAATTTGCATTAATTGTACCAAAAAGCGTCCTGGATTAGTCTCATTTGTATCTAATACTGGTATTTCCTTCATACTTTCTATCTGAAATAATTTAATTAAAAACAAACAAAGTAACAACACTATGATGAATTGCTCATTGCTTATTATACATGGAAGAATATCAAAATTAAATTTTTCCTCCACCGAGATCATTCATCATTATTAAAATCTAACTTCGAAGATCATTATGAAGATAATTTAGCACAAAGTATAAAATGAATCAATTAAATAGAAATTCTCAATTTTAATGAAACCATGTGATAAAATTGATAAAGTGATAAAATGTGATAAATTTGTAATTATTACACTTTCTCTATAAATTGTACTTCAAATAGTTAATTGTATATCAAATAATATTATATTAAATTAAAATATTTAATAATATATTTCATCAAAAATTAATATTATAATACGATTCAAAATGATATACATGAAATGATATAAATGATATTTTAAAATCTATAAAATTAATAAAGTGAAAATTAAAAATTAATAAAAAAAAATCCTCAAAAAAGGCATTTTTATAGTGATTTTTATAGTGAAAAATATTCACAGTTCGAAATCTACGAGTATTCTACAGCAAAAGAGAGGGAAAACCAAACAGCAATATACAACAACTGTTAAAAAATTTTTTTATAGATGTATATTAAAAATAAAGATGAATTATAGTTAAAATATGATAATAATTATTGAATTCATTTTAAATCAATTTTATTAACTAATTTTATTTATTAAAACTTTATTTTTTTAAAATCAAATTTTTTTTGCATTCATAAATTTCTTGATTAATTTCTCTATCGAAAAATCGTATTTGGTGAAAAATATTATTGTTACGAAGAACATTGTTTAAAAAAAACATAAAGTATATATATTTAGTATTTATACTTAATATATATTTAATATTTATATATATTAAGTATATATAGTAAAAATATATATTTAGTATTTATTATTATTTTTTAGTATTGTTATTTAATATATATTAATGTATTAAATATATACATATATAATTTAATATATATTATTTAATATATATTAACTTTTTTTAAAATATATTAAAAATGTATTAAAATATACTAAAATATATTAAAAATATTATTTAATACATGTTAATTATTTTATATTTAAATACATGCCAAATAAAAAAGACTGCAAATAAAATATTATCTAATATTAATAATTAATAGAATATAAATAGCACAAAAATAGTGAAATAGGTATTAAATTTGCAAAAATTGATAAAATAATAAAATTTCGTTTGTTAGTCCAATCGGAATAAATCGAATTCATTAGGTAAACATTTTATTTTATTCTTTGATACTATAAAATAGTTTTTAGCTCAATAAATAAATAAAAATTATTAAATACATAAAATTATTTTAAAAAATCGAAGAAAAGAAATGAATAAAATAAAATGACCAATTATAATTGAATAAACAAATAATTTTCAAGTGAAATAAATGAAAATGAAATATAAAAATTAAATAAAAAATTGCAATTTAAAATTCAAAATATTTATTTTATTTAATTTAAAAAATCAATAACATTTAAAATGATAATAAGCTTCATATTATCATATGGTTGATAAATTTTGATAATTTCATTGCTTTTACGCTAACCAAAATAGCAAAACTATAAAAACTATATGAAAAACTATAAAAAAAACTAATCATTTATGATACAAATCATGATTTGTATGATAACAATTTGATAAGGTAAGATGAAAATTTAGTTATATTCTTATAATAATTAGTTGAAGAATTTATGAAATTTACTTAGCAATGAAAATTGCTTCTTTTTCTAATAGTTGTCATCATTCGTGGTGGTTTAAACTGACTTCTTCATTGACTACTTAAGTTTTTTTGTTGGTGATTTTTTTTTTTCGCCAGAGAGTTTTTACCGAAGAAAGAAGTGCAAATGAGTTCCCAGCACCGGAAAGAATATGAATTTAGGAGATTTTACTATAAATAAATAAGAATTATTTGGTATGAAAAAAATTATATTGAAAAAATTAAATCTAAATCTATTCAATTTTAATTCAAAAATATTTTGTATATCAAAAACATCTGTCAGTTATATTATATTTTTTATTGAAAATATAAAAGTATAACTTATTAAAAAAAAAATAAGTGATTTATAATTTAATTTTGAATATTAAAAAAGAAAAATTATAAAGCTATAAAGAAAAGCTCTAAAGAAAAATTTTCTAAAATAGAATATATTTAAAATAACTTACAAAACTGGAAATGAGAGTCGATGATGACGATTGTATTAGTCGAAAACAGGTATTTGCAATAAGTGAAAATGATCGTCATCTAAGAAACATTATTTATAAGAGTGGTCATAAAGCCTGAAAAATTTATGCAATTTAAGCCTGAAAAACGTTTTATTTCATTTTGATAACAATAAAAAGATTTGATAACAAAATATATAGTTAAAAATATTTACAGAATGAATAAAAATGAATCGTGGAACTTAATGAATCGTTTATGCAATCGTTTTATTTCATTTTAACAAGAATAAAAAAATTTGATAACGAATATATATTTAAAAATATTTATAGAATGAATAAAAATGAATCGTGGAACTTATAAATTCGTTCCATGCAAAAATTTTTACAAGAATTCCTATATAAATAATATTTATGATAAATACTGATAAGTGAAATGACTTAAAAATTTAGAAATGATGAATAATAAATAAAATTTAGAAAATGAAAAATTTTTTCTCTAATAATTTTATCATTTCATCGGTTCAAATATTTATTTACTTATCTACAGGAAGGTAACCGAATGGAATAGCTTAGAATATTATTTTAAGAGTCAATGATTTAGTTCCCGATTCCAACATCAGTAAATCTATCATTTAGTTGAAAAATCGTCTAGTGAAAGCGATTCATTTGCGATAACTTCATTTGGGATACTTTTATCATTAATTATCTTTCTGGCTAAAATTTCTAACCGCACTAATAGCCAGGAAATGAGCCCAACCAAAAATAATGATCGTTAGTCACTTATTTATTTGTTTAATAATTAGCTAAGTGATAAGCTCGATTAATTATCAATTGAATATGCAACTTTAAAAAAAATTTCGAAAAAAAGGAATCAATAATATGATAACGATTAATTAAAATTTTTTAACAAGAAGGATTCGCTTCTATAAATTAAATTATCAATAATAATTGCAATCTAAAGCTGCAATTCTTTTAAAAATTCATTCATCATTTCTGGTTCATAGGTAGACTCGATTCGTTAGCTTACACGACCAGTCAAATTTTACTAGGCAGACGATAATACTTGCATACATATCAGTAAATCACTGATAAGTGGCCAGCGTAATGACGACTTTTGAAACGTAGGCTTAAAAAAAATAGTTTTAGGAATATTTAAAAAAAAAGGATCATTTTAAACCTTAATTTTTAGATGAAATAAGTAATTCAATATTTTAAAAATATTTATGCAACAACGTCGTTTCATTGCGCACAATTGTTAATATCGATAATTTTTCTTTCCATAAAATATTTTTGCTATACGCTTTTTAGATTTACTAAGAATCGATTATCACTGAGCTTTTTGCTTTCTTACTTTTGAGGATATCTTTCGCAGTAATAAATAAATTTTTATTTTCGATATTCAATAAAAATTATTGAAATTTTTTATTATAAAACGAATTATTTTATAAAATTATTTCATTTCACATCATCAGTTATCTTCTCAACGTTCTAAAACCTCTTTTAGGAATTTATGGGACCTAAATAAAAAAACAAGTTCACCAATCCAACTGGAATTTTGCCCTCTTTGGGATCTCTTTAGGAATTTATGGGACCTAAATAAAGCAACTAAATAGTTCACTAGCTCACTAGTTCACCAATCTAGCTAAAAAATTCTACTTTTATTCATCTATTAACGTGCGCAGCCAATAGAAACCATTAAAATAAAATCACTGATAAATCACTGATAATACCGCGTTACTTACTATTCACTCTCTAAGCTTTTTATTCTATGTGGTTAACAATGTTTCGTAGACTTTAACAAATTGCCAAAATAATCTATGGGCATATAAAAATGTAAAAAATTAATTGCCATTCTAAAAGTAATTGCAGATTTTTTTTGCGTTTTACGAATTTTTATTATTTATTTATGCGGAAAATTTAAGCAATCATGATTTGAATATTTATTGTATTTAGACGAAATAATTCAAAAAATAATATTATCACTAAAGCATATTTATTTTTCAACCAAAAAATCAATTCAAAACAATTTTCATAAGAAAAAAACATCGTAGAAGCAATAATATTCTAGCAATAAAATTTTGATGAGAAAATTATTAATTTTTTTTCCAACAAATTTTTCCAAAATATAAAAAATCACTTTTTAATATTTATTAGAAAATAAAATGCAAAAATCACATCAAATCAAGAAGAAAACAAAAGAAAAATGAAAAGAGATTAACAAATGAGACGAAAAAAAATGCCAGTGCATTAAGAAAAATCTTATCAATAACTAAACGAATTTCGCCAATCTGCCATCGAAAACAATTTAAGAAGATTATTGCAAAGAATTGGATTATACGACTACTAAATTCGAGATTTATTGCTAAATTTATGAGGTTTTAAATTATTCGATTTTCTATTTAAATGGATTCACTGAGGAATAGGTAAGAAATCGGTTGAGAATGGAATAGTAATAGAACAAACTATGAAATTTTATAATTACAGCGGCTTTTAAGTTTTCAGCACATCAACGATAATATAAAATTTGAAAAATATAATCAAAATGATTTAAATCAACACATTTGTAATTTAAACGATAACTAAATATATAATAATAACAAACAAATAATATGTATAAATAACAAATGTATAAATAATAACTAATATAATTTAAATAGTAAACATAAAATTTTGCAAAATCTACCGGGCAATGTCACAATAAAAAGCTTGAAAATAACCAAAATTGGAAGAAACAACAATTTTGCAAAGTATCGGCCAACATATTCTTAAGGTTAGAGAAGGATGTGGGAGAAAGTATGTG